CACCCAGTCTTTCTACCTTAGCAGAACTGGAGTGGATCCTCAGCCTGGGGTCCAGTGTGGGTTGCTGTGCTGTGATGGAGCTCCATCCATATGTGCATTGCTTGTACAGCTCCCTTGCGTGCCCTGTAGATGTGTCGTGAACAAGAATGGCTGTTCGTCCCACAAATGACAGCTGGGCGGGTCCGAACAGTTGTTATGACAGATCAGCGTCCCCAAATGACCTGGGGACACTGATCTGTCTTTAAACAATAACAACTGGGCAGAGCCGCCCAGTTGTTGTTCATTGGCCGGGACCTGCTAGACTCTAGCAGGTGCCGGCCAATTGGAAACAGTTTCGCGGAGCTAGCTGTCACTTCTAGCTCCGCCCAATTGTTATGCTTGGCGGTATTCGGCTATTCACTTACTGCCGTTCATCCCATATGTGAATAGGGGCGAACAGCAGCGAGTGAGCTGCCGGAGCTTCGGCTCAGCTGATCCAGATGTTGGATCGGCTGAGTCGAACTCCTTCTGCACTTTGGCTCAGCTGAACAGGGAACATGGAACTATGTCACCCAGGGACTAAATGATGGTTAACTTGACCACGGAACTATGTCACCCAGGGACTAAATGACGGTTAAACAGGACCAAGGAACCATGTCGCCCAGGGACTAAATGATGGTTAAGGGGATCAAGAAAGTATCTCACCCAGGGAGTAAATGATGGGTGAGATACTTTGTTGGTCCCCTTAACCACCATGGTTAACCGGACCAAGGAACTATCTCACCCAGGGGCTAATGGGGCGCATTGCACAGTCATTTCATTTGGGAGCCAGGAAGCATTTGATCCATAGCAGGAACATGTACTGAACAGTTCCATCTGGTACTTGTGTATCTTAAAGTGAGATTGTTTCTCAAACAAAATTGACAAACAAACATCAGCAGCAGAAGATAGTTGACAACATAAGATACCAACATATAGCTGTCACTGCAGAATGAGGCTTCCCAATCCAGATACGCAAACAGCAGCTTTCTCAAATTAGAAAAGGAATAGGTGTACACCGCGCCCAACACCCCACATGTCAATACCCATGCCTACTAAATTAGCAATGCTGATAGGTCATTCTGCCACAAAACATTTCCAGGATGGAAGTCGGAGTGTGTGCCTAATATCCACTACCAGGAAGTCAAGTAATAGCAGGGGCTCTGTGGGGTGCTGGAAATCATTGATCCTGCAACAAGAGATATGGCTGTGAGTTTATACTATCAGCTACCTGCTGACGATGTTAGTTATTGACTTTGGATTTATCCACAGGGTTGCTTTAAAGCCTAATGTAATTTGTTGGTTTACGACTTTTCTTTGAAACACATTATTTATAAGCTTTCCGAAATCTCTGTGGAGAGTTGCAACTTCTCACGCAACTCAACACTTTTTTTATTTTATTTTAAGAGCAAGTGTGGGCTAAATATCACATTTGATGCAAAGAATATACCAGGAGCCACCACCTTTTTCCCCTGCAATCCAGTATTGTCTAGGAGAAGTGATCAATCTAGGACACTTCTGAACTGGAAAGTGAGCTGAATTGGAGAATGTTTCCAGTTCAGCTATTAGAATTCAGAAAGCTGACATATTAGTTGCTATCAGAGCCAACTGGCATTGATGGTTTCATATACGATACAAACCCAATGTAAGGCTGATGTCCGCATAGGTCCCAACTGTACCTCTTTTGGAACTAAATTCCTCTGTTCCTCTTAGAGTGTTACACTTTACTAAACCTTTCAATCAACCTCTGACTGTATTTTCTTTTTTTGAAAAGACAATATAAATGAAATGTAATGGTGAAAAAAGCACTATTGGGTTCAAGCAATCATTTGTCTCCCGGTGGTCGGGAGACAAATGCCGAACGGGCCGGTGTGCACACGCGCACACTGCCCATTCAGCATTGCGGTCATCGGAAGCCCGCCCCTCAGGGGGGCGGGCTTGCGATGATCGAGAGTACGATCTGCCTGTCCAAGATGGGCAGATCGTACGTTTTTTAAATTACTTTACAACTATCGCAAGACTAAGGTCTTGCGATGGTTGTAAAGTGTATGGCCACCTTAAAGCTGCCCATACACCTTACAACCATCGCACGACTTTCCTTGTGCAATGGTTGTAAGGTCATTAATATTTCATACGAACTGCCCATCTTGCACAGGCAGATCGTACTTGCGATCATCGCAAGCCCTCCCCTCTGAGGGGAGGGCTTCCGATGATTGTAGTGCTGAGCAGGCAGTGTTCGCTTGCGCACACCGGCCCGTGCGGCATTCGTCTTCTGACCACGCCACTAACCCGGTTTTCAAGCTCGTAAGAGGAAAGTTGTACGACCTTACAGTAGAAGCGGTTGCACGCTGCCCATACACCTGCCGATTATCGTACAATCGCTGGATCACCCGCGATTATCGTACGATAATCGGCAGGTGTATGGGCACCTTTACAGGTTTTTTTTATCTTGCTAAGGTTAGGTTTAGGGCAGGTTCACAACATTTTCTGGACTAGATCTGGTCTGGAAAATGGTGTGAGCCTGCCCATAGTGCATTCCAGACCAGACAAAATGAGACATGCAGTATTTTTCTGGTCTGGTCTGGTACGGACTGCGCTGGTGCGAACAGAGGCCAAACATGGCATAGGGATACATCGGGATGCATTTTGGGTCCGGAAACAATCTGGTCTGGTCTGGAGATGATCTGGATGTGGTGTGAATGGGCCCTTAAGAAGCTACAGCCTAGTAGAAAAGTCTGACCCTGGCTAGTATGATGCAGAGCAGTGCACTCATTGCAGAGGTCCAAAACACACCTGCTGCGTCATACTTATATATCTGCAATCAGCAAAGCTAATGCTCCCTGCTGATTAGAGAGCACTGACAGTGCAAACCCCTTGCAAGGCACAAAGCAAGGCTCCTTCTCTGCAGCGTGCTGGCAGGGGACAGGCTTTTCTACTCAGGAGGTGATTGCTTTCTAAAGAAAACAAGCCGAAGGTTGTAACATATATTGTTGATGCACCTAAAATGCATTTAGCCCCTGTACATATCTGCACACCAAGGGAACATGCACAAAATCCTGCCTATTTCCACAGCACACATAAACACAATGAGGGGAATTTATCAAAACGGGAGCAGCTGTGCATGGCAACCAATCAGCTTCTCTGTCTTATTTTCAAATCTTAACTTAACAAACTGAAGGTAGAAGCTGATTGGTTGTCATGCAAGGCTGCTCCAGTTTTTGTTCGCTCCAGTTTTGATAAATTGTCTCAGTTGTTTTTCTGCAGACTGGCAGCAATGTTATTCATTCCTAATTCCCAATGGCACTCCAAACGTGCCTGCTAAAGCGCATGTGTTGTAGTGTACCAAAAAGCATGACACTTTAGTTTTTGGTGCAGTATGTTGTTTTATTTTTTTAAAAGGTGCACGCACTTCTTTGATGTGATTATCGCATGTTGGGCAGCCCATTGGAATGAATGGGCTGTCCATACGCACCTCACCAGGGAAATGTGAAAACTTCCTTTGCAGTGGGGGTGCTCCTTAATGTCTAGAGGTATTATGTAAAGGGGGCAGTACGGTGACTTATTGGTTAGCACTGGGGATCCCTGGTTCAAATCCCGGTCAGGACATTTTCTGCAACGGAGTTTGCATGGTTTCCACCAAGTTCTCCAGTTTTCCCCAAGTGCTCCAGTTTTCCACACTCCAAAGACATGCGGGAAGATTAATTGGCCCCTGTCTAAATCTGCCCTGTATGTATGCTTGTGGAATAGGGACCTTAAGGTGCCCATACACTGTGCAAATTGCATGTGTGTGCTGCTGTTAGCACCCTTTTGGTTGGCATCCCTCGATCAGCTGATCGAAGGAGCTGGCTGGAAAATTTTGGTACGATAGGAGCCAGCAGCCAATAAGCTGCCCGCTCTCATTGGGCATTTTTACAGCGGCAAAATATAATGCAAACAGCGTGTTAAGTGTTGATGGAGGAATCTGCTCTATCTTTCACATGACCTCTCGAGATTTGCGGCATCTACAACATTTAAACTAAATGCAGCAAAAGTATAGAGTGAGAACACAAGGAGTTTGCATGTTCTCCCTGTGCTTACGTGGGTTTCCTCCGGGTACTCCGGTTTCCTCCCACTCTCCAAAGACATGCTGGCCGGTTAATTGGCTCCTCTCTAAGTTGGCCCTCTATGTATGCATGTGAGATAGGGACCTTAGATTGTAAGCTCCTTGAGGGCAGGGACTGATATGAATGTGCAGTATTTAAAGTCCTGCGTAAAATTGTCAGTGATATAAATGCCTGTAATAGATAATGTAAAGGGTTTTTACTTACCTGATCCTCGCTGTCCTAGCAGTTGGTCCCTCCTACGCTTGTGGACTGTTCCCACCGCATCCTCAAATATAATAAAGGGCTATGGAACCGAACCTGCATTGTCATTGATGATGTCAGCCCGGTCTTGGATCCTGCAGGAGTAGGGATCAGGTAAGTAAATGTCCTTTACACATTACCTCTAGACAAAAACAAGCACCTTTGCAGTGCAGGGTTAGCCCCCACCACAAGATCGAACTGTAGTGCTCAGTGAAGGTCCCTGCTGGACCCTAACAAACTGCAGATTTAGGAAAACCAGCACCGGAAAGTAATCCTCTTGATATTGACTTTGATGAATAAGGCATAAAAACAGCGTACAAATACTTCTGACGTGCTCCAGCCCCTTTTGAGGGGCTGAAAGCATCAGCAAGTATTTGCATGCTGTATATATGTAAAGGATCCTTTTCCAGTGCTGGTTTTCCTACATCTTCAGTTTGTTTTTTACCCTGGATTTAACATGCACTTTGCTCACTGGTGTGAACTGATTTAAACTGAAAGTTCATTTGGGCATTACGTTGATGAACTGATGGCCAGCATGCACAGTAGAAGTGCGCACAAGCAGCAGCAAGTGACTGTCAGGGAGGAGCAAGGATCAGACCCATGTAAAGGGATGCTGGGGATGCCTTCCTTCATATAACACATCTTACTTGGGAGGCTGATTCCATTGCCTTTCTCTCCTCTTGCGGATTGGGGATAAACTGCATGCAGGAGGGGCTGTGAGCAGCAACAGTAACACCCGGCTACCGGATCTCAGTAGCATGGCATCAAGGAGAATGGAGACCAAGCCAGTTATAACGTGTCTGAAAACCCTCCTGATTATCTACTCTTTCGTCTTTTGGGTGAGTCGATCCGGCTTGTGGGTGATGATGGATGCCCCTGTAGATCAGGTCATTTGATGGCGAGGGTCAGATGTCTAGAAATCGCAATTAATGACCCCGATTTTCTGGGCTTTGCATCCCCTCCCCTTTTTCTCCATCTCCCCATCCACTCCTGCATTGCTCTCATCGTGTTTACTGCGCAAAATGAGAGCATAGAGGTGTCACTCCGGGGACAGGGGACAGGCACCGATCCCATCACACCATCGTACAAAATGAGAGCACAGTGGTGTCAGTCCGGGGACAGGCACAGCCACCGATCCCATCACACCATCATACAAAATGACAGCATAGAGGTCTCAGTCCGGGGACAGCCTCCGATCCCATAACACCATCGCACAAAATGAGAGCCTAGTGGTGTCAGTCCGGGGACAGGGGACAGGCACCGATCCCATCACACCATCATACAAAATGACAGCATAGAGGTGTCAGTCCGGGGACAGCCACCGATCCCATCATACAAAATGAGAGCATAGAGGTGTCAGTCCGGGGACGGGGACAGCCACCGATCCCATCACACCATCATACAAAATGAGTGCATAGTGGTGTCGGGACAGGGGACAGGGACAGCTACCGATCCCATCACACCATCATACAAAATGAGAGCATAGTGGTGTGGGGACAGGGACAGCTACCGATCCCATCACACCATCGTGCAAAATGAGAGCATAGTGGTGTGGGGACAGGGACAGCTACCGATCCCATCACACCATCGTGCAAAATGAGAGCATAGTGGTGTGGGGACAGGGACAGCTACCGATCCCATCACACCATCGTGCAAAATGAGAGCATAGTGGTGTCAGTCCAGGGACAGGCACAGCCACCGATCCCATCACACCATCAGGGCAAATCACTGCCTGCCACTGCGAGGTTTACCGGGCTGAGAGGCTTCTCCCCGGGCACGTCTACTTGATATGAGCATGACATGATCACTGTATATGCCTAATATGATGATGACATAATCACTGTACCTGATATAAGCATAACATGATGACTGTATATACCTGATATGATGACATGATCACTGTATATGCCTGATATGATGATGACGACGTGACCAAAGTATATACCTGATATGATGAAGACATGATCACTGTATATACCTGATATGATGAGGACATGATCATTGTATCATCCTGATCTTATAGACATGATCAGTGTATCAGCCTGATATTGTAGACATGATAATTGTACCTTCCTGATATTATACACATGATTGTTGTATAACTGATCTTACAGACATGATCATTGTAAAATTGAGCATTTTATAACTGATCTTATAGACAGACTTAATCATTTTATAACTGATCTTATAGACATGATCAGTGTATCTAACTGATCTTATAGACATGATCAGTGTATCTAACTGATCTTATAGACATGATCAGTGTATCTAACTGATCTTATAGACATGATCAGTGTATCTAACTGATCTTGTGGACATGATCGTTGTACCTACATGCTATTATAGCAATGATCGTTGTACCTACATGCTATTATAGCAATGATCGTTGTACCTACATGCTATTATAGCGATGATCGTTGTACCTACATGCTATTATAGACATGGTCATTGTATTTAGCCGCTATTATAGACACAATTGTTGTAGAGCTGGAAAAAGTACAGGAGCCAAGTCGCCAATGCTCCCTAAAATTTACAGCTGGTCCCTAACTTTTGAGGGTGTCTGTAGTTGTCAGTGGAGCTGGTTCCTAATAAAAATCCTGCTGGTACCTGAAATGGACAGACTGGCTCCTGAATTTCATATTAATTTGTCTACCCCTGGATTATTGTACCTACCCACTATTCTAGATATGGTCATTGTACCTACCCGCTATTATAGACTTGATTACTGTATCCACCTGCTATTATAATCATTCTCATTGTATCTACCTGCTATTGTAAAACTGATTGTTGTATCTACCCTCTATTATAGACGTGGTCATCTCATTGTATCCACCTGTTATTACAGACATGATCATTGTAGCTACTTGCCATTATAGACATGGTCATTGTATCTACCTGTTATTATAGACATGATCGTTGTGTCTAACCTCTATTATAGACATGGTCATTGTATCTACCTGATATTCTAGACATGGTCGTTTATCTATACTTGCCATTATAGACATGGTCATTGTATCTACCTGTTATTATAGACATGATCGTTGTATCTACCTGCCACCCTAGACATGGTCATTGTATCTACCTGTTGTTTATTATAGACATGATCGTTGTGTCTAACCTCCTATTATAGACATGGTCATTGTATCTACCTGATATTATAGACATGATCGTTGTGTCTAACCTCTATTATAGACATGGTCATTGTATCTACCTGATATTATAGACAGGATCGTTGTATCTGCTTGCCATTATAGACATGATCATTGTAGCTACCTGCTATTATACACATGATCAGTGTATGTGCAAGCAGTACGCAATCCTCTTATACATTGCAGAGAATGCTTAACCCTTGTTATGCATCCCTGTGCAAACTGTCCCCGATCAGTCAGTTCATAGAAGCTTTAATTAATGGGATCAGCCACTCTGATAATACAGAGAGACGTGTCTGTATCCAGTGTTGCTAAGGACCCGGGTTTATTGTAGGAGAATTGAACTCTATGGGCAGAGATAATCAACTGCTGCAAAGGTTGGCTGTGTATTAGAGCTTGTAATGCAGTATTTCCAGCAATATGCCACAGGGAGATTCCACCCTACCCACAACTCTGGATGATGTACATTTTGTCACTTCCAACATGATAGCTGACATGCCCTATAAAGCACCTGTGAAGGGCTTGATGTGATTTCATTTTAGAAGAATAAAAAATATACATTGATTTAGAAGACGTATGGATCGGTTGATGGGCATGCATGTTTTCCTACGATGGCATTATTCAAATATTCTGATGGGTTTCAAATTAGTATTTATCTCCTCATGTTTACATTTGTTTTCTGAGTGCTGATAACAGATTGGCTACAGTCCAGATACCGAAGATTGTACTAATGCCTGGATTGTATTACAAACATAACCTTCTATTTGCTTTGATGTTTTTATTTTTCAATAAAACGAGTTGTGATAAATAGCTAATGTGATGAGAGGAGTCAGAGAGAGTGAAGGTCTGCATAACCAGTATATACTGTATGCTGTTCTGTATGTGTGGGCTGCAAAGTTAATGGATTAAAATGCAAGAACGTGTTACTATCCTAGCCATTACGTAAGTATGGACATCGTAAAAATATCCTCCCGCTCCTGTTTCTGATGTCTGCTTACCATTTTAAAATGGATATACAGACACTCAATCATGCATGCGTTTAGATGCCAATGCACTATTTATCTATCTGTCCATCCATCCAGTGTTGGTCGGTCTATAAAGACATTTTAAGAAGACAGTGACTGAGACCCTGCGTATATTCATCTTAAAGAGGAAAATTGGCAAGCTTTTGATTGAAAAGGACCGATTATACAAAGCAAGTGTTTAAATATTCCATCAGTTGCCACTATCCAATCTGTGGTTGCCTCTTCTGACTTCTCAAGTCCACAATGTCTGTGCTTAAGGAATCAGGAGAATTTCGTTGGATCCGAATGGGGACATTGTATCATACACAGCATAGACAGTGTGGGTGTAATAGGAACCTGTGAAGATAGACATATCACCATAGAGCCACCATTGCTGAGTGGGGTAGTCATCCTGATCCGGTTTCACTACCTAATGGCCATAACTGACCTGGAACAAGCATGCAGCTAGGGAAGTCTGAACTCGTGTTCTTCACATGTTCTATGTTTACTTTGCCTCAACAACCTAATAGGGCCCCCCTTCCAGCCCCAGGCCCCATAGTAGCCGCCTGGGCTGCCATGGCTATAGTTATGCCACTTCTCTGTAGGTTCCCTGCAGACGATCTTTTCCCCCTTGCTGACCTAAGCATGCACTGTGTCTGTCTGGAGTCAGCCATCTTGGTAGCAGCAGGGCTTTACCTCATATCAGAGCTGGCTGTCCCATGATGACTGGTGATCTGTCAGCAATTGGAGGAATAGCTGATCGCAGCTAGTGTTACAATGTACAAAATCTCAGTGCCGCTGTCTGATGGTAGTTCCCTTACCTGACCGCATTGCCACTGCCTGATCACAGCAAGCACCAGGGTTTCCAGTGTTGCTGATCATAGCCAGTACCACTGTTTACCTTTTTACCTTACCTTGGGGTGTCTGCTTTCCAAAATGGGGTAATTTAGTGGGTGTTTCAGCTGTTTTTTTTTTTCAAAAATGTCCATATTTAACCCCCCCCCCCCCCCCAAAAAAAAAACCAACACCACCC